TACATTACAAATAACCACCTGAATTGTGGACACAATTCTCGAAAAAAATATATAGTTAGGTATTTCATTGTTGACAATTTTTTGTAGTAAACACAAAAGTAGTCAGGAATAATCTGCATTTTAATATCACACATTTGCATATTTATAATCTGCGAAACCTTGTGGAAAATTACAAATTTTTTCAAATCCTTACAAACAACCACTGGAATTATGTAAGTACTAAAATCTGTTAATTACCCCGTAATTTACCCAATTAATAAACTAATTAATAATTATTTCTAACATATTTGCGGGTGCCAATTTAACCGTCCAACGAAAATATAGCTTTATCCAACCAAAATTAATAATTTCGCCAATTATGAAATGGGCAACGAATTGATTTTTTTGCAACAACTTTCATTAAAATGCACACCAAAATAATTAAATTTCCAAATAAGAAATAAACGAAATTCTTGAAGGTATAAATATTTTTGTCAAGAATCAAAGCATTTCCAACTAACTTTTTTCGACCGGATGGTATAAAATTGACCCCATATTTGCCTGCAGGAACTACAAATACAAATTTGTATCTACCTAAAATTGTGTAATATTCATAATACGTTGAGTTCAAATTTTATTTTATTTTAAATAAAATTTTGATAAATTTTGTCGTTTTATGAAAATGCTTTTACTTTATTTTGCAAAATCATTTAGATAATATGTTGTTACTCCAAATTTTGTAATCACTAAATATTTATTATCACTGTACGAAAACAAGACCAAATCTTAAATTTTGTAAAAGCAACTTCAACAACGCTGTACAACTATAAGCGGCGTACTGCACTAACAAATAAATTTCTGAGGGACGTCACGTCAAGTTTGTAACTGCGTTATGTTTGTCAGTTTACGCACTTTTTACGTGAGTTGACTTTGTAAATATTTTTGTAAATATTTTCTAATGTATAAAAAAATATCTCGTAAGCGTAAATTTCAACTCTAAATTCAAATTTCAAACAGTCAAATTATTTTCGAACCATTATTTACGAGCTTTAGTAAAGAATACCTTAGAACATCCCTCTCTCCAAGGCCCCAAAAATGCATAACTTTAATAATTTATTTCATGAAAAGTTGATCGAGCTACAATCCAATTTTTTTCTCAATAAACAATCAACTCTTTATCTTCATGTTAAAAAAAATCTGGCCTGTAGCTCGATCAACTTTTGGAGCTAGAGCCAAAATCCCGAGGGGTTTTTTGTCAAATTTATTACCCGAAAAAGCGAAAAAGTGGTCACCTGGTTGCCAACCAAAAATCACATTAAAAAATATCACAAAAAGTACAGCTTCGCGTAGCCCGAACCAGGATAAAAAAACTAAATTTGACTCCTATTTCGATCAGACCAATTTTAATGGACAGAAACAATCACTTTTATGAATACATATGGACTAAGAAAGCTTAACTTAAAAGTTTTGCGCGATTTAAAAATATGAAACCTTATATGCTTGGTATTACAGTACGTAACATATATTCAGCTACGATGTATTGATAGCGAGTTACGTCCAGCCAAAAATAATTTTCTATAGATAATGATGCTCAATTACCATGCATTCAAAAATTAATTTGATGCATTTTTTATGTGGGTATTTTGGTCAAAGGGCTCATTTATAATGAAGAATCCAGGGTCATTTCTTTTATTGGAAATCCCAGAATTTTTTGGGAAACTTGCTTGTCACTTTTAATTTGAATTCACATAGCACTTCCTGGCCTTTGACTGAATAAACAAATGAACGTTTCAAAGTTTGGCTAAATTCGATTCTCGTCATCCATGTTAGTTTTATTTCGAGAATATTTCTTGAAAAATATGATGCGAAGCGTCCACTTCTAATTCTACTTAAGAAACGTCCAGACATAATTTAAAAACTTCGCAAGTCAAATTTCCTTAAAAATGTGTGTAAAAGTTGGTAAGCTGCTTACAAACCTTGCGCAATTAGCGCAATTACAAAGGTTACAGGCTATGACGAAATACCAAATCTGCAGTATATTAAACTACGTAAACATATACAAATTTCTGTAACGGTGCCCAATATTTGTAAACTTGCAAAATATGTCACTTTTTACAAAAAAGTTATGTAAAAAAATATGCAATAATATAAAATGCGAAAATATGCACATAGATAAATTCACATTTTACGTACTCTCTTCAAGGTTATATTTCGCATCTCAACTTATTTCGAACTTAACTCCATGAATTAGAAACATGTGCATAATTTTCTGAGTTAACTTGCGATAGAAAACTATATGACTTTCTACAAAAGCGATTTTTTAGAAGTGCAAATGTCTAAAAAAATTTGGGAAATAATTTTAACTTGGCAGATTTGCGAAGTATATGTATGCCATGTCATGAATTCGGTTCTCCCATTTTAAAATCTAGTTTTCAGGGAATTTATTCAAAGCTATTTATTAAAATTTAATGAAATTCCGTATAAAAAATGTGCAGAAATTTGCACACCACTTTGCACATAAATCTATTTAATCTAACGTACATTGCAAATATTGCATATTCTATTCAAAACTGGTATTTACGCAATTCACGCTTTTTTTTATCCCAGTAAACTTGTAATATTTGCATTTTGATATTTTTTAATCTCTCTATTGAATTTTTGGCAATTTTTTTTAAATAATGGCCAAATATCTATATGTTTGTCAATAAAGCTTTAATACAGTTTTGTAAACCTCGATACTTTTCGTAGTCTGATTTTTTTCTCTGTAAACCTTATATTTGTCGGAGCCGTTATAAGTTAATGAATTCCACTACGTTATACTTAAATATCCGGGTAAATTGTGGACATAATTCTCGAAAAAATATATAGTTCATTATTTCATTATTTACCGTTTTCTCTATTAAATTGTAGCAAATTCTAAATTATTCAGAATTTGATCTCCATATTCATATCGCATGTGTATCTACATTATATCACATATCTGCATATTTGTAATCTGTAACCTGCGAAACCTTGTGAAAAATTACGAATTTGTTTAAAACCCTTACAAACAACCACGGGAATTATTTAAGTACTGAAAACTGTTAATTTCCCCGTAATTTGTCCAAATAATAAATTAATTGTTAATTATGTCTAGCCTAACTCATTGCAGGAAATACATATGTGCGAAAGTATTTCGAATTTCGTAATTTTCATCAATGTGTGGTTTTAAAATTACTGGTAATAATATTCGGTATAAATTTAAGTATGAATTTGGCGAAAAACGATCTAAAATCTTTTAAAATCAACAACGCCGATACGCCCATCAACTGTAAGCGGCGTGCTGCACTTTTCTTTTTGCTGTACGGAAAACCTTTAAAATTATTAATCGCTGAAATAATGAGGTACTTTAAGGTAACTGTGAACTCCAGAAGTTCTGTGCAATCATTTTACAAACTTTTTTTTAAAAGGAAACGCTTACGCTTGATCGGAGTAAGTTAGCAAACATTTCGAAGCTAATTTTCCTCAGAAATATGAGTAAACTAACTCCAATGTTTGTAAACTGTGTAAACTGTATAAAATTATGTTGCAATCTTTAATACAAACAATAGTAATTTACGTAATCCTTGGTAACTTTGTAAAATCTGTAAAATCTGTAAAATAATTTGACTATAACTTTTCCAGAATAAAAAATGCCATGTGAGTAAGTTTGCAAAAATGCGTACGTTAATTTTCCTCAGAAATATTTGTCAAATTTTATAATAGTTTGTAAGTTTAGGAATTTTGCAAAGTTACCAAGGACTGTGTAAATTGTCTCAATATATCGATTTGTCATCCTTGAACGCCAGATTTAAAATTTAAAATAATTTAAGTGTAAATTTTCCACATCAGATCAAAAACCCAATGAAACGATTTTCAATTGCGGGAAAAATCGGTGAAAAAATTGCAAATGATTTCTTTGTAGGGGCAAAATTCGTAGAAAATTGCTACTTATTTATTTTATAAAAGTCTGAAATTATTTTTTCAAAATGCATACGGATTTTACAAAGTTACCAAAACTGCCTGTTAGTTTATGCAAATTTACCGATTTTTTACATGGTTACAAAGACCAGAGTAAAACGAGTAAGTGAAATGAGTCCATATTTCTCTCGAGTATGAAGTATCAACGTGACTGACATTTTTTTCAGCTTTCCGGCCAAGTAAAGAATACCTCTCTTTATTTCATCCCGTCGTTACGCAAGCGAAAACGACGTTGTTCTCTCCGGACGACATTCATCATCCCGAAAATGATAATACGATAATGATATGCTGATGGGCTGTGCGGGAAGGATGTGATTCTAAATATTGCTCGATTTTGAAACATATCAAGTGGCGGGATAACTTAAAATGTTAAAGTAAGTAAGGTGAACAGGAAATGATTGAGATTATCAGATTTGTGTCTCTGTAATCGTGGTAATAATTTGTTACTGGTTTTTACCGGACTTATAGATTTATAAAAAGCTACATAAGTTGAAAAAACACAAAATCTTAGTTACATTACAACAATACATCCAAGAACAAATTTGTTCCAATATAGATAGTAATTAGTTTGGTAAAACTTTGGTAATAATTTGGAAACCTTTTACCAAGTGTCAAGTACAAAAATATTTAGCTTGTGGTAATAAGTTATCAGAATAATGAATAATTCGGTAAAACATTGGTAATTCGGTAAAAACTTAGTAATAATTCGGTAACCTCTACCAAATATCAGCTTTGAATATATTTCGTGGTAATAATTTACCACAATACTAATATAATATGTTACCAGACCATGGACTGGTAACAAAAAACGAACATTATCTTGTTTTCTTCTATTATAAAATTATAAATATGCTAAACTAATGATCACCATCCAGTAACAGATTTTTACCCACTTTTTTGGAGTCGAACTAACAATATGACGACATCCTTGGTTAACACCCTCTCTCCAAAAATAAGATGAGATGTTTGTCTCCCCGAGGAATTTTTGGAAAGCTTTTTCAGCAGCCAAGAAAAAACTGGGGGCTAATTTATCCATGACTGCGTTTTAGCTGGTTCAGTTGCGTCTGAAAATTTCGTGGGAGCAGATCAACTCGTCGTATATTCCATTATTGTAGCGTCCTTTCCACTCTTCACCTTTTCCACCCCAATTCCAAATTTACCCCTAATTTGTTAAAATGGTAATTAAAAAAAATATTTGAACCGTAAATCGGAAAAAAAGCAGTGAGAGAATTCACGCAGTGATTTGTAACTTTGTAAAATCCGTGCGTTTTGTAAAATTATTTTACAAACTTTTAGAAACTAAAGAGACGCTCATGATCTGAAGAGGTTTACAAAATTCGTTACCTAATTTTTTTGAAAAATATTTGTAAAATTTCGTAAAAGTTTGCAAGTTTATAGAATTTACGGATTTTAGAAGGTTACAAAGCCCTCCTGAATTGTCGCATCGTTATAATTTACAAATTCGAAAAATAATTGGATATGTGCTTTCACAGGCATTGGACTTGAGTGCTCGGGATATTGAGAGTAAGAAAATTCTGGTTTTGTTGAATCAGTAATTCCGTACAAAACTTATTATCTGTCACAATTATCAAAAATTTAAGCGAAACCCGAATTACAAAATTTTAAAGAAATACAATTTAAAAAATATTTATTTTAAAAGTCGATTTCGAAAATAACGTCGCAAATTTCGTACAAAGAGTTTTTAATTATGAAACATTCGATGATATCCATATTGTAAAATTTTGAAATTTTTTTTAAATATATAAGAAAAACAAGTGTTGAAAAACGTCTCAACCCGAGTACGAGGTTTGATTTAATCAAGTTCACAAATTTAAGAAAATTGTCATCATACAATTTGCATAGATTTTGACGCCAGAATTAATATTTTGAATAATTTAAGTATAAATTCTGCATATTAGATGAGAAACTGAAAAATATTCAATTACGATAAAGATTAGTGAAAAAAATATGCATATTTTTTTGTACAGGAGCAAAATTCGCCTTTTCCATCTACGACTTTGAGGGTAACGATACCGTGGATGCGTTCGACATGGGGAGCGTCCTTCGTTCCCTCGGCCTCATCCCGACGCAGAAATCCGTCGAGAAATTCGGTGGACAGAAGAAGAAGGGTGAGCAATTTGTAAATTAAAAATTTTGTTAGAAGAGAAACAAGCATACATCTTTGAAAATTTATGCTTTGCAAATTTTGTAAGTAAATTTTCTAGGGCGTCAAATTGTAACATAGTTTGGATACAAAATTTCGGTGGATATATTTTTGAAAGGTACTAATTTTCTCGAGGACGAATGTGCCAATTAGGATTTTACCAGATGTGAATTTGCCGAAAAATATTGACAGAATTCACGCAGTGTTTTTGTAAATTTGTAAAATCCGTGGGTTTTGCAAAATAAATAATTTTACAAACGTTTACAAAATAAACAGACGCCCTCGGTCTGAGCAGATTACAAAAATTTGGAAGCTAATTTTCCTCAAAAATATTTGTAAAAGCTTGTAAAACCTTGAAAGTTTACGGGTTTTACAAAGTTTCCAAAACCTGAGCGAATTGGCTTATTGTCATATGAAAACTGTTTTCAAACTTGCGAACGTTTGCTGTAAAAATTTAAAAATTTACACATTTGTAATAAACTTGGATAAATTTGCAAAATTTTTGAAAGATATTTCCTAAATTTTCTAATTTTTGGGAACTCAAAACTTTGAAATACGTATGTATGTAGGAGTGAAGAAATTGAAGGTTGAAGAATTCTTGACCGTCTTCTCGCAAGCCAAGAAGGACAAGGACATCGGAAACGTGGAGGATTTCCGAGAATGTCTCAAACTCTACGACAAATCAGAAGACGGAACCATGATCTTTGACGAGTTGAAGCACATCTTGGCCTCCATGGGTGAGTTATTAACCCCTTTGTGACCGAAATAATTGAAATTTGCTTTCCTTTGGGGACCAGAATTTTATCAGTTAGTTGTTGCTACATAACCAATTTAATTTTACCAATAGTGTAGCTACGTCACCAAAATGATTTTAAAGTATGCGTAGTTACGTCACCGATTTCACAGTGGGTGTGCAAACCATAAAGGACCGAATTTATTTCGGCAACTTTTGATGATTTTATTTAACATTAAGCATTTATTTATGCATATTAGTAAAAATTATCTGCAGTTCATTACAATAATATTAAGTTATTGATTAATACATTTTTATAGTTTAGCAAGGTCCAAGTGCTTTTCACTGATCTTGACCGGAGTTAGTTAGTTCATGCTCAGAAATAAGCGGACCCGTATTTTTTCGTTTTCTAAAATGGACATGTTTTCGCCCGTGGTGGAGTTTAAAAAATCCGCCAAAGTCAGGATTTTTAAAACGCTGTAACCTTTCGAATTTTAATCCGATTTCAAAAATTAAACACAATTTTTGCTCAGAATTACTACCCTGAAAATATAAAACCTACAGTGCAGACTTGATATAGCCCGAGTCAGGCCAAGTTGTGCTTATCACTCAATCCGACTTTTTGCATGAAATTTTATCGCAAATGCATATCAATAAATTAAAAAATTAAATTTGATTTTTCCAAATTAAATTCATATTCTTCTATTAGTAACAATTACCATCCTGTGTAACAAATTTCAGGATCCGAAGATTACAAAAAAAAGTATGGGTTACCCAATAGGGTCTCTCTATGGGAAAATTGTTCCTATTTTAATTAATATTCTTCTATTACCAACTTTTCTACCAAACTTCAGCTCGATTTGATGAATTTTAAAAATCGGTATGGGTCACCCCCTCGGGTCCCTCCAGACGAAAATTTTTGAAATTTTACTTTGTATTCCTTCATTATAAACCATTAGCAACCTCTATGCCAAATTTCAGCTTTCTAACACAATTTTGAAATTTTGGTGCGTAATACCCCACCCACTCCGATGACCCCCACCGGTCAACCACTTGACCTATTTCACCCATCTTCGAACTCAACTCCTCATTTGACCCATACTATATGTGTGCAAAATTTCAAGTCGATAGGATTAGTTTTACGGCAGTTATCGCAAACCAGACAGACAGACAGACGGACAGACAGACGGACATGACGGGTACATAAGCCCTGACTCGGGATAAAAAATCAATTTAAAAAAAACTTTTAATTTTCAAAAAATTATCGTTTTTTGCTTCTTTAAAAATTAAGTTTATTTTAAATTCCGCCACGGGCGAAAACATGTCTATTCTGGAAAACTCCAAAATACGCTTATTTCTGAGCGTGAACAATTTAAAATTAGTCTTACAATGCATTGCAGCGAACTACAGTTGTAGTTTTTGCAGATATATAGTTTTTGGTAATGTGCATAAATAAATGGTTCGTGTTAAAATTTTGTAAAATAAAATTTTGACTTGTATGCATGTGTGTATTTGGTCTTGAAAATTTTTCCGCAGTACACAAATGTGTGTAGTTGGTCCCCAACGTAACGGGGAAATAGTACACAAATGTGTGTACTTGGTCCTCTACGGAAAGAAAAAAACTACACAAATATGTGTAGTTGGTCCCCAACGTAACTACAAAATAGTACACAAATGTGTGTACTTGGTCCTTAACGGAAAGCAAAAAAGTACACATATTTGTGTACTTGGTCCCCAAGGGAAAGCAAAAAACTACACAAATATGTGTAGTTGGTCCCTAGCGGGTTAAATCAGTATCCAAATTTAGGGTTTGACCTGTGATTATAATTCTTTGTAAATTAGGTGTGATTTCTGTGAATTTCACACCCTTTGATTTCTACGATTTGTGATATTACTGGGGGAAAGTGAAACAAAATGCATTCTAGTACAAAATCAGCGTCATATTTGGATTCAGCATGAAATTTTGACTTGATTCGGTTGAGACAAAGTTGCATTTTGCGTTTGATTTGTATCTTAAAGTTGAAAGTTAGTTAAAAAAACACATCAATAATTTTATGTTGAATTCGAATATCAATCTGTTATTCATATTAAAGAAAGCTGATTAAGCTGATTAAGCTGATTAAGATTTCTGTGATTATGGGGCAAAATGGAAATTATGCCCCATAATCACAGAAATCTTACAAATCACATATTTCACAGAAATCGCAATGTTATGTGATTTCCCAAACCCTGATTTACGCGGTCGTTTGCAGTCTACTAAAATCTACAAGTTTGCCAACGCATTTACAAATATTACGAAATGAAATCAGGTTACAATCTACCAATCTTGGTATTTTGAATTGTATCCTAAACGGCGCTTTATTACTTTATTTTAAAAATTTGTTAACTTATTTGCGGAGTTACAAATAGCAGAGTGAATATGTGAAATTTTAGCTTGCTTTATAACACATCAAATCATCGTTGACTTCCTAACTAGTAAAGTCATCTAAAAAGTTAACCTCGACGCCACAAAACAGTTTCAAAATTAATTCTCGACGTCAAAACGTACAAAAGATTAATCAAAGTATTTTGACTTTTCGTCAAAAGTGAATTTTACTACTGAATGTTATATATATTTTATAAAATTTCCTTACCGTGCTCCTCATTTTCGGCCATTTTACAAAATAATTTTTGCACAAAAGTTTTAAGGCCGAGGACTTTTTTTAAAATCACAATTTATAAATGGCTTAAAAATATGTACTTGACGAATTTTCGTCAACATTTTTTTCTAGTGTGTTGAAACTTATTAAATTTTTTGTTCAAATTTTGTTTAAATTTTGGGCCAAAATTTCCTAAATTTGTGCAATTGAAAAATGCATGAGACCAAGATATTTCAAAAACCGAAACGATTTTTAAAATCCCCTGAAATTCAGGTGCCTTGCAAAATTACAAATATTCGCGTGATTTACCACGTCATTTATGGCTTAATTGTTGCTTAATTTACCTATTTTTTTCTGCCCAGGTGAGAAGTTGGAATTGGAAGAGGTCGACGAAATCATCAAGGATTGTGCCGTTCCACCAGATGAGGATGGATTTACTCCATATGGAAGTCAGTCATACTTAAACAAATTGTTTTTAATACTTGGCCAAGTTCACCTAGTTTTTGAAGAATTAAAAAAATCCGAAAATTTAAATTTCTTAAAGTTTTATTTCTCAAAGTTCCGTGCTTTTGTAAAATTTTGTCGCTCTAAGCTTATAAATAAAGCGTTCAAAGATGAGATTTGAATTTAGTTCCTCACAAGAAACTTTTGACTAATAGATTGTCATTTTATAGGAAAAAAATAATTCAAAAGTTTTTGAGAAAATTTATAGAAATTCAGTTCACGCAGTCCTTGGCAACTCTGTAAAATCCGTGAATTCTATATATTTACAAGGAAAATGTCCTTACAAATTTTTGTAAACTTACATACTCAGATCAAGGGCGTCTCCTTATTTTGTAAAATTATTTTACACAACTTACGGATTTTAGCAGTTACCAAAACAGTGGCTGTGATAATTGGTTCATTATAAAATCTTAGTATTTCCGAAATTTTGCTTGTCAAAATTCCTCGATTTTGGAAATTTTGGAACTTTTCATTATACGAATTTTACAATGGGTTTATGATAGCGATACCACTACGGGAATTTTCTGATTAGAAACTTTTAACTAATATTGTACTGGCATTTTAGAAGAAAAAAATTAATTTATAACTTTTGAAAATGAAAATTTGTGGTTTTGTTAATAATTTAATAAACTGCCAATTCTTTATATTTTGTAACCAAACCTGGTTTAAAAAATTCGCCAAGATAAATGGAGTATGGATTGATTTACTTTTACCAGTGAATAATAATTAATGTTGATTAATATTTTAGTTTTCTTGGACAAACTGATGGCCGGACCGTATAAAGAAGAGGATTAAACCCTGACTGGACGGAAATCTGCTAAAAACCAAAACCACCTTTCAATACCAGTTTGATATTCCCTTGAATTTTGGCTTAATTTGGACGCAAAATTTATTCATGTAACTTTCACGCACAAAAAATCTGTAAAACCTTGTTTATTGGTGAACAACAAAACAGAAATAAATTGGACTTTTCAAAACCCTAAAACAGAATGGAATGAAATTTTAAAAATGGTTATTTTTTCTATTTATTTAGCGTGAGAAATTTCTTTGAAGTATATTTCCATGCATATATCCATATAAAATTATGAAATTTGCAAGAGATACAAGTTTCGTGGAATTTACGGCGTAACGAAAATTTATAAGAATACATCAATGTCAACCAATGCCAATTTACCCACAAAGTATTATTTTTTCAGGAAATATTTCAGCATTTCACGCGGAATTTGGTAACTTGGTAATCTTATTCCATGGGTTCGTGATTGCACTGTTAGAAATCAGGTATAGTCGGGCAGGAATTGATTTCTCGGTATTAAATTTACTACCGCTTGGTATTAAAATTATGCTGGTCCGTAAAAATTCGATAACGATATTGTTAGACTTTAATACCGGGTTATTACTACACGGTTGACGGTGGCACTTATGAATATCATCTTCATAAAGTCATATATAAATACCGCGTGGTATTGTTTTAAAACTGGATTTCTAAGAATGTCTGTGAGCGCTTGGAACAGGTTTGTAACTTGATTTCCCGTTGTAATCCGTGTAAATTGGCGAAGTTTGCGCACTTTATGAGGCTATCATTAAGGTAGATTGTGTGAAATTGAAGTAAATATTTTTTTAGGTGTTGAAACCTTTTTGTCTTTTGGTAGACTGGAACGTCGAAATGTAATTATGACAAATTGTTGAAATAGTAAAACGTGTTGATTAGATGCAATGGAACACGTCGGTAATTGGATTCTAAACAAGTCCTGAGTTGGAAGCTGAACTTTATCTGCACGAAATTTGTAATCCATGTATATCGAGAAACATTTTTGCAGGTTTGCGCAATTTACGATGTTATTATCAAGGTGAATGGTACTGTGTGAACAAGTTTGTGTCATGGCAAAAAGGAGATGGGCGATCTATGAAAAGGTTACCCAGATACCACGTAACAAGAAAAGTATTATCCCAATCCAGTTAGGGATCGGGTTTACTGCGCTGGGAATTTAAAGTTGACAATGTGTACCATATGTCTGTCATTTTTTTAAAACTCCAACACCACAAACCTAGCAGAAAACAAGGGCTTTCTGTGGAACTAGATTTCGGGCTGGCGGAGGAAGCAAGGTGATTTGGTAGGGAGCGCGGAGGGCTACACTAAATATTATTTAACACTACCTTATTTTTATTTTGACGTACAAGGTATACGAAATTGAACGACTTTTACGTCGAAATAGAAATAAACTAGTATTAAATAATATTTTATTATTGTAACCCTGTGCGGCGCGATCGCCAAATCATGCCTCTTCTACTCCGCCAGCCCGAAATCTAGCTCCTCCGAGATCCCTTGTTTTCTGCATTGTTTGTGATGTTAAAATTTTAAAAAATTGTCAGAAATATTGTACACATTGTCAGTTTTCAATTCCCAGCTCAATAGACCCGATCTCACTAAATTTGACTAAAATCGTTGTCAACTTATCGTGCACACAGGCAAACAAACATATTTCAAATTAATGAATTTCAACCCTTAAAAACAGGTCACAGAGGTGAGATATCGAAAAATTTTATAGGAAAAAATAATTATCCATTAATTTTTTCTAAATTCTGGCAAAATTTCAATTTTTTTGTTACGTGGTATCCGGGTGACCTTTTCATGGATCGCCCATCTCCTTTTTGCCATGACACAGACTTGTCCACACACAGTATGTTACATATTTATTTTTAATTTTAATTTAATTTATTCATACTACGAGCAGAGAAGCCAGTCTTTCGACTGGCAGTCATGCTAAGCATTTGAAAATGGTCGATAAAATAAATCTGAGGGGATTGCAGGAATCTGCTGACATCCGTGCACGGCGCTATGCAAATACGGTTGAAGTTTTGGTGACCTGTGACCCTTGACCTTGAATGGCGTAACCTATGCTATTCAAACTATGCTCCCACTGCTCTGGACGTACCTTTGAAATGCGCTATCATACGTTGCTGTATGTAGTCTAGCGTTTGAGTTAGATTTTTACCGTTATTCTAGGTCACAGTGAGGTCACAGACCCCAAGTGTCTTATATATTCGTGAAGGTATTTGTGAGACCTTTTGAATGATACCCCACTTGATGGGTGTTATCGGTTGACATTTTGATGACCTGTGACCTTGACCTTGAAGCCTCCAATGGCGTGACTCAAACTATGACTACTCTCATCGCTTAGGACTAAGCTTTTGAATGCCGTATCATATGCTGTTGTACCTAGTCAGGCACCTGAGTTAACTTGTGACCGTTATTTCAGGTCACGGGAGGTCACAGACCCCAAGTGTCTTATATATTCTGAAAGGTATTTGTATTTAACCCGTAGTCACTTTTTTATTACGGATCGGTGGATAGTAGGATCTATTTAAAAAGTAAATATAAAATTATATGAATATATGCACCAATTGCATTATTCCTTGTCGCACAATGCCCCATTCTTTCATTTTGACCACTTTTGGCCACTTTTGGCCACTTTTGCCCATTTGCCACCTATTTTGGTAAGTGGTCAAAAACCACTTTTGGCCGCTTTTAACTGGCCAATCCTGCCAGTCTGGTTATTGCCAAGCGAAACGCTTCCGAGGTTGATAATAACAGATCCTGATGCCCTTTGGATATGTGGTAGGGTCCTATGAGTATAAATGTAGTGCAACATAACAGTTACTGTTTATTAACGCAAAATTAGTCAAATAATAAATTCTCAAAAAACGAATCAATACATAAAATCTCGTAAAATTAGCCGAACAATAAATTCTCAAAAAACTAATCATCACATAAAATCTCGGAAAATCAGTCAAATAATAAATTCTCAAAAAAATTAATCAAAACATAAAATCTCGGAAAATCAGTCGAACAACAGATTCTCAAAAAATGAATCAAAACATTGACATTGACGGAACTTGTAGGGTGATTGTGGGTTCCTAATTCAATAAAATCAAATAGAATCAATAGACCAATATCAACAATAAACCTGGACCTTATCTTTATTGGAAAGAGATAAAAATCTATTAAATTAAAATATTAAATGACAAGGAGATTTTGTTTTGATTCCTTTTTTGAGAATTTATTAATTGACTGATTTTACGAGATTTTATGTTTGGATTCATTTTTTGAGAATTTATTGTCCGACTGATTTTCCGAGATTTTATGTGATGATTAGTTTTTTGAGAATTTATTGTTCGGCTAATTTTACGAGATTTTATGTATTGATTCGTTTTTTGAGAATTTATTATTTGACTAATTTTGCGTTAATAAGCAGTAACTGTTATGTTGCACTACGACGAAAAACAGGGTATCCATGTTGGTTTAATTTGCAGGAAGAAAGTGAAAACGGGTGGGGTAGGATATAATGGGGGGCAGATCATCTCGGGTAGCATATAATGGGTAGCATTTCATGGGTAGCAGATCATCACGGGTAGCATATAATGGGTAGCATTTCATGGGTAGCTTATAATGGGGGGCAAAGATATGCATAAAACCTGATTTGATCATGCAGAAATCGGTTGTGCGTCATTTAAAACAAATCCGACCGAGATCGGTCCAAAACTGAAAAAGTTTTGATGGAAGCATCTCAAACCATTCATGTTGCTAGCCAAAAATTACAATATTCTTAGTTGGTTGCTACTGGCTATCAATATAACAATTTTCCAAATACAAGTAGTTGTGTTAGGCAATTTGCCAAATTAATTGGTCAATTGTAATTTCCATTTTTGGCCAATCGCACAAAAAATTTTCTCCTATCAGTGTTGGGCACGATTATTAATCCATATTAATTATAAATTCTTTTGCAAATTCAAATTTCAATAATTTTATATTTACACCCGGTATACAAAAGTATTGGTTATTTGCATATTTGTAATTATGGAATGATTCCGTGCACTTAGAGCTTCGAAACTCTGCACGCAGTTATATAAACTAATTGGTGAATAATCGCTCGTCGCCGATTTTTAAAGTCGTCGACAGGTCAAAGGTCAGAATTTTTTTAGCACTTAAAAATGAGAGGCCAAAAACAAAAGTCCATGGATAATTTTTTTTGACTTTTTAATATTTTTTATTGGAAACTGCAAGGTCTTACGAAGAAAATGAGCTATCGTACGGCCGTGTACGATTTTTTTTGACGCCCACAGGAATTTTTCGCCAAAAAAGTTTTTGAGGCCTAAAATCGCGACCGCGGCGAAATTTAAAGAATTGAAATATACAAAAACATATAGAAAGTGCATATATGCTTTTGTATATTTCAATTCTTTAAATTTCGCCGCGGTCGCGATTTTAGGCCTCAAAAACTTTTTTGGCGAAAAATTCCTGTGTGCGTCAAAAAAATCGTACACGGTCGTACGATAGCTCATTTTCTTCGTAAGACCTTGCAGTTTCCAATAAAAAATATTAGAAAGTCAGAAAAAAATTATCCATGGACTTTTGTTTTTGGCCTCTCATTTTTAAGTGCTAAAAAAATTCTGACCTTTGACCTGTCGACGACTTTAAAAATCGGCGACGAGCGATTATTCACCAATCAGTTTATATAACTGCATGCAGAGGTTCGAAGCTCTAAGTGCACGGGATCATTCGCAAATTACAAATATGCAAATAACCAATACTTTTGTATACCGGCTGTAAGTACTGTGTCAAATTTACAAATTTTAAATTTGAACATCCTATATGCATATATTTTGGATTTAAATGTTTATAAGTTCATTTTGTAATTTATAATCTAATCCAGATTAAATAATCTTCCTCCCTAATCCAGATTGTTCTCGTGAAATAACTACATAATCCCCGTAAAACCTAATATCTGAAAAATTATTTTCTGCGAAATTAATTTAAAAATTTGGATTATTGATCCTTAATCCGTTTTTAAATTAATTTTGCGACCCTCTGTACATATTTTCAACTAATTTTGTAATGAAAAAGATTCAAGACATTCGGTCTTCAAAAAGTTTAACAATTTTGAGGTGCAATTAATTGTCTGAAAATGTGCATCACCTAAAATTCATGAAATAAAAT